AAGCATATGGTTGGTTGTTCGGGTCAAAGGGAGAGCTTTAGGAATGCCGTGATTGGACACATTCCCGAAAACTGGGGAAAACAGAGGTCCCATTTTAGTGATCTTGGCTTTCTAGATCTGATGCGTTTTAGTGTAACATCTTGCGGTTGACTTTTCTTGTGACGAATGCGGAATCATGAATAGATGGATGGATGGTGGTTGAGATTTGAGATGGAGAGTTGTGAATATATTTGCTGGTCTTTGGAATCTGGAGATCAATTCTGAGTCGTGTGCTTCTTTACCTACTGTAGCACCCACTCATCTACTTTACCATTTACCATCAATTCTCGTTCATCCAGCTCTCCAATCTCATCATCCAAGCATCCCTCGTATGGTCAGACTGCCCAGTGCCCAGGCGTAAGAATCATGTAAGAATCGTGTCAGACATGCTCTTGGGAAGTTACATCTCAGCTATCACTTAACATGTGTTTCCACACACGCAAAACTCGACGTTATCGTAAACATGTGAAGACCCTCGAAAGTTCCAAAATAGATGCGATAACCCCAGATCTCACCAGGATTAATAATAGTTCTACTACCGACCGAGGGGCAGCTTCTCTAACGCGGAGGAGGGGATCAATCTTTTACAGGTCCAACAAATGCCTCGGCTTAGCTAATTACCCCTTCGTTGGTAAAGGGTGATCCGGTTATCGCCTTGGTACTGTTCCGAAAAGATGATTCTGTCCGATCATGCTTTTCGTTATGCGACTATAGGATGCGATTTAGGAAATAAATAAATGCTAGGGCATTGCGTGAGGTATTTATGTTTTCAGTCATACATATATCTATCCTTCGTCCATGTAACCTCGCAAGCATTGTGTCAATATTAGGAAGCGATGTGTAGAAAAGCCGAGAGAAATTAGGTCATCATTCAAGGATCAATGGATATACAATGTCATCAGCAATTTTGCCGGTATATTAATTTCTTATGGGGCAGCACAGGACTGCTATTTTGCTTCTAACATATACATGTCTTCTTTCAAGTCTCCATTCCCCTAAAGCAATTGCTCACTGCATATCCTCACCATCCCGAGCATTTCAATCATCAATTCGAGAACTCGTGAACATTTCCGACTGCTTATCAAGGCACTCAAGGGGTATAGAGCAAAAACGCAAATGTCGTTGACGCATTAAATAGCCTGACTTTGTATACTCAAAGGTTCATGGCCTTAGTGTACTGCTCCCAAGGCGTAAGTGTTCCTAGAGTTCGTCGCATATGTGCATTGATGATTTGAAGTCCATAAACATAACTGGCATTAACCCATCCGAAACTAGAAATCATTAGAATTTTGCAATTGGTCAAGCACATTGGTATAACTCACCCTTCTTTAGCAACTCCCTTGAAATCCGACCCTTGGTTGCCATATTCTGCATCAACTTTGTGAGGATCAATCACTCTGGTCACATCGTATTTTTCAACCACCACCCCATTATAATCAACAAACGCTGTTGTAATCATGAACAACCATTTGTAGGCAAGTCGCTCGGCCTCTTCCTGATAATTATATCGTAGTAGTCCTGTCCAGGCTAGCATTTGCTGTGGGGCCCAACCATATGGATAATCCCATTGGCGATTTGGTCGGTCTAACCCAATTGCACCACGAGACTCTTCAGTTCCAGACAATAAACCTCCAGCAGCTTCAAACTTAGGAAGAGCATTAGTGACGAGACTGGCAGCTTGCTGTGGCGAAGCAACACCTGCCCACATCGCCCAGAAGGTAGTAGCACTCTCGTATGTGCACTGCTCTTGCTTAAGGGTGTTATAATCGAAGTACATGCCCTTCTCTTTATTCCAGAGATATTTATCAATAGCCAACTTGCGACCCCTAGCCCTTCGATCCCACATTGAGGAAGTTTGCAGCTGACCAGGCGTCATATCGCCCACGCAAAATTCGGCTGGAACCTCAAGCTTATCTTTGAAAAACGTACGAATGGTGTGTGCGATGTCCTTTTCATATTTATAAAGAAGAGAGTTAAGGTCAATTGTTGCAAGATCTGCGCAAACCCTTTCCAAACGGTAGGATGTGTCATGACCTGATTCACGAACTGCTCGATCGTGTAGGAAATAATCGTCCAATTCCTTCTCCACAACTTTTCCATTGTTGTAAGCATCAACGAATTCTTTGAAGGTCATGTTGTGCTTTTCAGCATAAGGTGCCAAAAGATGTTCGAAATGTGATGCTTCAGTCTCTGGAGGTACACCAAGACCTTCCGGGCGATATCTCGATAGACCTGTGACAGGATCATATCTTGGCTCTGCCGTCCAGACGCTATGGTATTCCTTGATGGCAGCAAGAATAGCCGTCTTTAGAAAGTCCAATGACCCTGGCTCATGCTTGATCTTGTCAAAAACTCGAAGTGCCATGTCTGTCAAGAAAGGTGGTTGAGAACGACATAAATAGTATGACCTAGTGGCATTGAGGATCTTTCCGTAATGTTCAATGCAAAAGCAGAAGTTTTGTACCATCGACTTGGCCAGGTGGACCTTGTCGTTGACAATTAAGCCGAGTGATTCCATATAGCTGTCCCATCCATAAAGTTCATTGAATCTACCACCTGGTACTACGAATGGTAATCCCTTGAGAGTCTTCTCACCTGTTGACGGATCTATAACTTCCTCCATGGCAACAGCCAAAAGGCCAGGCTTAGAGTTCATATCACGAACAACCTCTGGTGTGATTCTCTCTGGTAGCCAACAAACATCTAGACGCACTTCAGGTCTATCAATTGCCACTTTGGTATAGTATGCATGCTGTTCAGGTGCACCTCGTGGTATGTAGATACGTGGACGGGGATCATCGGTCCAATCCTTAGGATCACGCCCAGCAATTTCAATCACGGAGCCATCGATTCTACGAGTCAGGCCATCCCAGAATGAGCCTTGTATCAATCTTGAGAGGCGGTTGACAGGATTCTCATTGAGGCGAGATTCGTCCAAGATAATTTGCTCTCTGCCATTTTCCTTTGCCAGAGTCAATTCCTGTAAAAGGTTGGAAAGCATATAAGTCCCACGAATATCATATCTTCTGAATCCGTTCGATGTAGCGGTTCCGAGAGGAAGTGTCTGCCCCAAAATGCGTTAGTTAAGACATTGAGTGAATAGAATTTCTGCAACATCATACCTTTGGTCCTACATCTTCGATTGTAATTTGGTGATTGTCATCTGTGTCTTCCTGTTTTCGAAGGGCTTCCAGTGTCGAGTCAACTTGTATTAAGAATTTGCGTCCATGATCTCCGATATCATCTGCACATATGTATATTAGTCAATGAGACTTTGTGAATCAGAATGTTTGCAACTGACCATGACTGCCTCTCCTCTTGGGCTTTTCTAATCCTGAGATGGGTACGGAGAAGGTGCTCTGATTCTGCCAGACGGTTAGATGAGTGTTTGAAAGGTTAACAAGAGAAGTGATGTGCTTACTGAAGAGTATGTGCGGGTTCGAAATTGTCGAAAGGATTTCTGATTTGTATCATTGCTGTAGTAAACATGTGCCGCAGCGAATGGATCGATTTCACTGGAAACACTAGAAGTACGGTTCTTTCGCAATGGCGAGGTCATTCTATGGTTTCGGAAAGTGCTTTGGTGGTATTTGCAAATTTGCAATTCTGTAGTATCTCTGGACAATTTTCGAGACGGTGAGTCTTAAGTAGTTATGAGTTCCGGGTACAGACAGTGGGGTGAGAGGTGAGGGGGATGGGATGATGATGGTAGTTGCTGAAAAAGATATACACCGTACGGTGGTCGTCGATAGATGAGATGAAGAAGAATTGTAGAATACTGGAATTGAATACTAGATATGAATCTGGTAGGTTTTAATAAGATTGAAATTGAATACTATTACTCGTAGACTCTTATAATCTCCACAAAAAAGAGGGTAAGTGTCTGATACTCGTTGTGTGTTTGGATGCTGGTGGAAAGTTCGAAAATGTTTTCAAAACGTCAGCAGAAATGTTTGAGCATAGCAGGCTTGCTGGCTTGCTGGCTTGCTGGATGGCTGGCTGGCTGTAGCTGACTACAAGTATCGTGGGTATTATTATCCCTAGTAGATTATTAGATGATGAGATATTAGATATTAGATATTAGATAGGAAGCGTTATCGGTGCCGCCGCACGATTCCAAATGAAGATAGCCACAGCATTCCATATCTACCTACCCAGGTAATGTAATATCTGATGTCTGATGTCTGATGTCTAGTGTCTAGTGTCTAATATCAACCAAACATCTAACATCCTGCCAATCCTTCGATCTTGTCTGCACTTTCTCTCAATCTTGCTCAACCTACGAGAGTGAGTTGAAGTTTCGATCGTTTCATTCACAACTACTTCCTCGGTTCTTCTAACTTTTATTTCATTTTTTGTCTTGTCTTTGATGTCATTCTCTTGTTTGTTCTTCACCGCCTCCAAGCTGCAGTCAGTATGAACACAACATGAAATTTATCATCTCAGATGCATTAGTGACGGTACTCCTATCGATTGAGCCAACCACACCATACTGTTAATAAAAATAGTGGATCTGATGGCGGTCATCCATCCCACCATCATCGTCGACCAGCCATTATCCCATTGGACAGCCCTAGATTACAAGAGTTAAGGGTTCAATCTTCGTGGGGGTGAAGTTGTGACAGCGGCCTCCGGTTCGGCTTCCGCTGTTCTTGTTGTGTACCTAGGTATTTCAATGCAACACAACACAACACAACACAACACAACATCTCAACCTCAACAAAGCAGAGCATGAGCAAAGTCAATGAGTCCATTCATCATCATCACTCCTCAAGAATTGGATATGTCGCTAATCTATCATGTTAAGAAGTTTGAACCATATTCGTCCCATTCCACATATACAGACTGCACTGCACAACTTGCAGATTGATATACTTATTACTGCCCCTCGAAGATGATCTCGATCCCTTATTTCACCCTTCGTTAGTATACAAGAAAGAAGAAATTCTTGGTGCTACAAATTATTGGCACAATGGTCCTGTTCGAAATGCAAGGGCACCATTAGGTCTGCGATCTTCTTTCTTCTTGTTGGCCTCACCTCGCACTATACATAGGATCAAGATGGGATTAAGATGGAATGGCGGCGAGGTACAAAGCGTACCGATCAGCTCGGGTGTCTTATCAAGATAAAATTTTGTCACCGAGCCGATGTTACACTCCATGTTATCACCGCCATGTGGACAAAGTGGTACAAGTACACCATCGGAAATTACAAGAAGCCATTTCAGCTTGTTGTGATATGTGGCTCGGATTACCATGGTTACAATTACAATCATGTGCTCAAATCGACAACGGGGCTTTTCTGAACTTGATATACCCATCTCAGTCATGCTATTTCCTCACGGCTTATAATCTGACTGCCGACGTGTAAGTCGAAAGATGGCACTCCAACCGACTTTGGTATCTGATTACCACGTTCCAATTGAGATCTAAGGCATATGAGTTGTTGCACTTTCTAAGACTCAACATCTTTGCTATATATCAGACGCAAAGAAGAGCGTTGCTAGATCAACCTAGGGCAACTGAATTGTCTCGAGAGTTATTACCTCGAGCACACACGTTCATCTTACCTTTCACACACCTATATCTAAGGTCTTGCCAAGTATACTAGGAAACCAATATATCGCTTCCAACCTGTTGCTATCCATACGATGACTCACGAATGGATGACCAGGTGTCAGACACTATCATGCGTTCAATCAAAATCCTTTACACGTGGAGAAAGACATTGCTGACTGGTTGAATCTCAAAATGGACACACTGGCTGCTAGACGACTTACAAATATGGTTCATTAGGAGTCATCCATTGAGCCCTGCGGGATCACTATCTTCATCCTCGAAAGGATGTCTCTAAATTTTGGGCCTCACAATCCCAATTTGTCAATTTCTCTACATTTACTTAGGAGAGTACAAGTGTCAACTTCAGCCCGACAGAATAGTTTGGCCAACGAAAAGCAATTCTGGGTGCAGACTATTGACATGGAAGATGTAGGTAGAAGCATTTATGTACAGTCTAATTTGGCGCTGGTAGTACGAGGTGGCTTTAAGTCAGAAAATGAAGCATCAACCTCATGAATATCCCATAGCGATCCAGCGCTAGTGTGGCATGGATGCGAGACTATGAAATTGCCCACAACTTCTGACCCTCCAGGCTAGCAGATTAGTGACGAGCAACCTATATTTGTTAGGTCAGCCTTATGGGCAAAAGCACACGCACTATCATGTGGTCCCGGGGCCTGAAGAAACTTGTCAATATGCATCGGAGCCATGAATTTTGTTGGTCTAACTTGCTTTGAAGCCATTGTTCACAGTGTTGGACGATCTGACTAATTTCCAACCTTTTGGAAGATCTATCTCAGCAGCAAAGAAAGCCCATGGAGTTGCATATTAATTGATACCAGAATATGCTCAACAGTCCTGCACGCTCGATTTTTGTTGAGACAACCAGCTACATCAAACCCTTTAAGGATGTTCTACAACGCTCCTCGAGGATAATGAAAGTGATCCTTGTATGCAAAAACCATTCAACTTGCTAGCCATTGGTGAGGATCTTTTCGCCGCCGTTTGCCTCTTCATGCACCGTCTACAAACTTCCTTGGAACATCAGGCTCTCCATGTGTCAAGTTATTATTATTTCGAATCGTTGACCATGCCGATTTACCCACGAGATGTTTATTGAAAGGTTGGAATATATCCCTGTGGTCCCGAAATAGAGCTGTAAACTTACAACATCAAAGAATCGGTCCCGAGCTGTGCACAATTACACGGGAGGTTGTGTAAGACAAAGATTAGATGGCATGTGTGCTAAACAAATTTAGACACCAAAACAACGCCTGGTCTCGACACGCCAGAATTTCGTGATTTTCTTGAATCAAGCCTACGGAGGTTATGCCATGCAGATTTTTCTCGCAGATACGTTTTATTAGATGAGATAAGATGATAGCTCACCGATACTGTGTGAATATAGAGCCAAAAATGAATCAATTGCCCGATGGCGGACGGAGGCGGTAGGATTTATCGAGCGTTTGGAGACAACGAGCTCTTTGAATTCTGGACAAAGGATCCAAAAGGAGAAGAAAGGCCGCTTTCAAAGCATTGCCTGATATCCACATTAACTTTTCGGGATATTTGTTCAATATTAGTTTTGCTCTTCGTTCCTAACCATACTCCTCCACAGGCGAAAAAACGATCCATTAGCCGACAGTTGGTCGCCACGGATGCTTGCCGAGACGCAAGAAAACAAAGACTAGGTAGTCAGGGGAGTGCATCAATACGATAAAAAAGAGTCTGAGCAGTGCAGCACAATACAGTGAGAATCATTCCATCCGCTCTTGAATTAAAAATCGTGTCACCCCAAGCTTCCAGATTTTCTCTCAGTTCCATGCATCCTTCCTCTTCGGCATTTGGGCGCCGAGACAAGTCTTCGAGAAAGAAACAATTGTAACAATTGTAACAAGATCTTTCAGCCTCCTCTTCCTTTCCCCCAGAAATATATTATCTTTCTTCTTTGTTTTTCCGTTCAGCAGAGGCCTCAGATGGATTTCCCACATATCATCTACCCGAAAGGAGCTTGGGGCCAACTAGCCACAAATCTCCGAAATTAAATTGCCCATGCACCCTGAGGCACCGTGGTGAAATATGCCGTGTTCGTTTCATGATGTAGTATATACCATGCAAATAACAGACAGACCTCCAAAACACATCCAGCTGGAATTTTTAACCTTTTTGATTTCAAGGGTCTTGTCTCTTCATTCCTTCGTACTCGGAGTTATACAATCACGATTTGTTGAGTACAATTGATGATACCGAATGGATTTGTTATAATGGGCGATTTTAATCGCTATGGCTGATATATTGTTATCTTTCCGGCCAGCCAAGCCGAGATCTCAATTGAACAATGCTTCGTTCATCTCCATCTCCTTTACTTTATACGGAAGAGTACTCTGAATGAACACGTATGGACTTTCTCTATCGCTTGACAACGGGTTTACGATTACTAACTTACAAAAATACAAATACAACTGAAGATCATTTGCAAGCGGTGGTTCTTTTTCCAGATCTATTTTACCTATCTACCTAGTATAGTGAATCTTTATCTTGATGTCGGGAAAAACTGTCCCAAAATATCCTGTAGGAAAGAGTGGAGTCTTTAACTTTACGCTAGGAAAATAAGTCTGATCTCCAAACTAGCTGATTTTCCAATCTACGGAGCACATTGCAGATATCGATTATCAAAAGTTCTTAGGAGATCTTCTAGCGTGCTGGGTAAGGGGTTCTTGTCTACGTGATCCCTGAGATAAGGGCCTAGATTTGGTTTAGCATTTCGCATAAATCATATGCCCAATTCCACCTTTTGGGAATTGATAAAGCATTACTTCAAGTGATTTAGAGCCACTGTAAGAATCTATATGTCAGATGGAGAAGAACTCCCCACCTAGAACATAAGATAAGAGAAGCTGACACAAATTAGGATAACCCTCGACCATTAAGATTTGGTGGGCAAATTTTCACTATCTAGTCTTGAATCTAGATGCAAGATACTCGACATTCTCGAAATCTTGAAAATGCCATGTCTTGGGTGTCATTACCTTGTGAATGGTTTAAGTTTGGTTGACATTTCCCCCCGGTATTTGGTAATAATTGATATGGCGTTGATGTGGCACCGCATCAATGCTAGTTTAGTTCCTTGGTATGTCATTCAAGGGGACTAAAAATATAGATACCACTCGCCATCTGTGAGATCTCGCAGGTTTGATATCCAGTTGAAGTACCATACAGTTTACAACATCTAATCACTCATCATCGTACAGTGTCAATCGTAGGAGAACTTTTCCATTCAACTTTTAAGCCGCGATGCAATTTCCTCGACGCCTATACCAAATCCAATCCAGAGGCACTACTGCAGCCATCCGAAGTCAAGTCCCTGTAATGACCTTTTTGGGTAAGCAGCTAAGGTAGGTACGCGCAAAATATGATTCGAGCTGATTGAGTAATTTTGTGTACGAGCGTCATGAAAGTTATTCTAACATACATGGTCACCATGTAATCATGTATGTAATCTGGATTATGAAATGCTTGATTGAGATAGTCCAGCACTAACAAATTCAAGTCCCTCATATGTAGACCTCATAGACAAAAAGCACACAATGGAAATTTTCAAATAAGGTATATAACGGTGGAGATCATTGCAGATCTTCCAAAAAGACGTCAAGTCCAAAGTGCGACTAGCTCAAAAGCTTACCTGCAGGGGTAAAGTCTTTTCGCCTAATTACAAATTAACATCCCAGCTTATTAGTGTCAATTGCTTCATCATTTTCCAATAGACCGAATCTACTCGCTTCTGTCTACATCATGTTTTAATTGTCAAAGCTGCGTCGGGAACGCACAGCATCAAAAATAGTTTCGTCTGAATCCTAACCAAAGTTGGAGCAGTCACATCCGGGTAGTTCTGAACTACATTTCTTTAGTTTTGGACTCGGCGTTTGATACTCTTTGTAGCATCATAGAGGAGGGGTTCCTATCCATTTCATTGCTCGCACTGCCCACATGGCTTATCCAAGCTCGAAGTCGTACGGCAAACTGATCCAATCAAGTATTCCAGTAGCAAGCTGAATGTATGATCTTGTTTGTCACTCGCTCAGGCCTGTTCGAGCTACAGATTTTGACAATCTGTAGTTGCTAAAGCTCCAGATTTGGTAACTTGGTTGGGACTTTTCTCAGCTCCTCTTTGTTCCGAACCGATGCAGGTACCATGAATGGATGTTGTTCGCTCAGTACCTACCTATTGTTAGCTTCAATAGTAAATTTTCTCGGTGCTCAGTGGCGCTAATGAATATGGCTTTTTCTTCACGATATCTCCTTAGTACATATTGCCCTTCACCCCGATCGTCAGAAATACTTTTATCTTGAACTTTTGTTATTCATCTTCAGTAAAGCTATCTTTCTTTTGGCTTGCTGTTCCAATCTTTCCTTATTCCAACACTCGTTGCATATATTCTTCAAACTTTACTAATTTTTATTTTATTTTTAATCATATATCACACGTGTCATTCTCACATCCGACTGCATTTTACTCTTTATTATCCAAAATGAACGCCATCAAGGGGTATCTCGCCCCTGGGAAGAAGGCCGAGCAAGATGCGAAGAAAGCAAAGAAGACTGGAACATCAGAACCAATGCAGTTGGAAATGCATACAACCCCTCCACTAGGTTCACCAATGGCAGGATCCTTTGTTGATCGTTCGAGGCCATCCTCTTT